GGACAAAACGACAACCAACAAATTGGGAAAAGATCTTTACCAATCCTACATCTGATAGAGGGCTAATATCCAATATATACAAAGAACTCAAGAAAGTAGACACCAGACAACCAAATTACCCTATTAAAAAATGGGGTATAGAGATTAACAAAGAATTTTCAATGGAAGAAACTCGAATGGCTGAGAAGCACCTAAAGAAATGTTCAATGTCCTTGCATTCTTTTAAAGGAGAACTGTGTCCACTGTTGGGTTGATAAGATGACTCAGTGGATAAGAGCACTTGCTGCTGCTCTTACACAGGACCTGGGTTGAGTCCTCAGCACCCACTTGATAATTCACCACTATTAGTAACTTCAGTTTCAAAAGATCAGAAAACATATTCTATCTTCTCAAACTACCAGGCACTGATGAAGTAGGCAGACGCAGACTCACAGACACACAGACACAAAGACATACAGACACACACAGAGAGGGCAGAGGAAAACTTACAATACACATAAAATAAAAACAAACATATTTTTTAAAACAGACAAGACTATATGTCCCTCTATAATTAAGGGTCTTTATTAAGTGTTCCTCTTTTATATTTAAGATTTTGGAGATTTCAAATAGTACACCAAAGTGCTTGAAACAGCACCTTCAGGATGTCCAGATCATACACAGTATCTCCAAGTTGTGAACCCAGACTCCATTTCTCTGTATCTGCACATGTGGTCATTCAGAACAGTGCCTGGCTATTAACTGAGATGGAAGTAGCCTTTGGATTCATACATATAATGCTAGTTTTTCAGACCTGCAGGAATGAAAAAACTGTGGGGTCATGGGAATTTCCACCTAAGTTTGAAAAGAAAGCTTTTGAGGCCAGTCACTCTGGGTTAAGGCAAGATCCCTACAGACAGCCAATTCAAGAACAGCACCTACAAAATACAGCTCATAGTGATGTAAGGCACAATACAACCCATAGTGATGTAAGACTTGTAGTGTCATATCTTTCTATGTGCATGTTGAGAAGTTATGGCATGTTTATTGTTTTCTAGAGTTGAATGTATGAGGAATTGTTTTTTTCTTTTCTTGTGTGTGTTTATTATGGCTAGTTGGGGTTTTGATATCCATAAAGAGTTCTTAAATATATCTGGAGATGTGCAGGAACACTGGCATATACAGGTATTGTGTAACACTATAACCATGGTGATGTGAACAAACATATGATCACTCCAGATAGTAAGGTGATAAAAGACCAAAGTACAGATATCATCAAATTCCAATTTGATAATCAATGAGTTTTTTGGGGTTACTTGCTAGAGCAGAAATTACTCAAAACTGGATCACCAAAGATTTCCTCAGCCTGAATGACAGCTCACATAAGCCAGTAACAAGAAGCACACTGCAGGGTCTGTAGGCAGTTCAACATCCTGAAGAATGTCCTTTCCAGATGACTCATTTGGTCTAAGAATGATTCTCAGCACTCTTTACTGCTTATATACTGTTGCAGGGAAGATAGATTGTGTTAGTGAATCTGGTCAGTTTCAGGGACTTTCTGAAGCTATTTTGATTTGTTTCCTTCCTGTATTGAAGCTTTCTTACAGAATGGATGTTTCAGTCATAGAAGACATTGTTACACAACAACAGGAAAGATGCTAGTGATGGATGGACATCGATATGGTAGGTATAGGAGAAAAGAGAGAAGAAATGAAGGAAAGATTGAAGAAAAAGGGGAAGAGAGAGAAGAAGATAAAAACAAAAAGCAGATGATGGAGGGAGGAGAGGATGTCAAGTTGGCAAGCCTTCTACTCTAGTTCAGCTATGGAACTTCCTTTCCAGATTTTGCTGCAGAACCTGTGAGCACGAGGCAGCCATTGAGACTGAGAACCACTCAGCTTTCACTCTCATTCTTGTTGGTATCTGCTGTGTATCAAGATTCAGCTATTGTTAGTTTTATCACTGCAGTATTTTTGTTTGCTTGGTGGAATGGACCACTGTAAGCTCAATGATTTGTAAAGATGAATGAAACATTATGTCATTTTCATTATCTAAAAATGATATATAACCCTCATCTCTGGTTGGCTTTGGTGAAAGACTTCCTTAGATTTGTCATCATGAATGGGGAGGGCACTGCTGAGGTCATACGGAAGGTCTACGAGCACTTAATGTGTCCTGGAGTAAGACTCATCATTATCGTCAGTGGTGCAGCCATGGAGAAGTTTCCCATATTCTAGTAAATAACCTCATTCATGTTTATTAAAGCAGCCAAAATCAAACTCAGTGTGTTACACATATATAAAAGCACCTGGCAGGAGAGAGGTTTCTTAACCGCATCTTCACGGGATCATTACTTCAACAGCTAAGCAGTGTCCAGAAGATGCTGTTCTATACCAATTTTCCCCAGCCATGGGCTCTTGTGGTCTTCTGCCTTGGTGTTTTGATTCAAAGCACCCAATATCTTGTACCACATAAATCAGACGTTTTAAGAGGATTTTAAATTTACTAGGGTTTGATAAAAATATCTATATTATTATTATTAATAATTATTGATCCATATAGTCATCATCACTATTGTTACTATAATTTTATGGAAATAGGCCTTTTGGATGCATCTGTACCATATGTGTACCTGATGTCCTTTAAAACTATGGAGAGTGTTGGATCCACTGTAACTGGAGTTGCAAACGGTTTTGAGCCACTTTGTGAGTGCTGGGAGTTGAAAGCCAGTGCCCTGGGAGAGCAGCCAGTGCTTTTGACCACTAACCCATCTCTCTAGCTTCACGGTCATTGTCTCTAAATGTCAGTGGTAGGAAAATGATGCTTACAGCTATGGTTTTCCTCTCTGAAATTCTTCTTCAGGGTTTGCTTGTTCATTGTATTTTAACCAAAACAATAATTCTTAGAACTCTATTTGGAGAACTGTTTGCTGTTGTTTCTTTTGGAGATTAGATATAAAAATGTAAATGTTCAGTTATAGTCTTTTTAGTGCAAGAATTGTGTTTTCCTGTCATGGTTTCATTTCTCTCTTGGTTCTCTCATCTATCCTCTCATCATCACCAGGTCACCTTTCAAATGACTGAAAGTGTAGTATTAGCTGCCCTTTAGAGAAGGCAATGCCTTACAACTGTGGCCAGACCGAGTTGATTTTATAAAAATTGATTTATTTAGATTTTATATTGTAGTAATTCATACAAGAAAAATAAGAAAACCATGTTGAATAAGCCAAGTAAACATATATATGAGTTCTTTATTACTGGGAACCAAAGGCAGGATTATACATGTCTTGATGGTGAAATTCAGGGACACATTATTTTTAAAGACTAAAATCACAAAGACCACAATTTCCATCAATGTTACATGAGGATAAGAGTAACCTTGCAACATTAATATCTGGCAGAACAAACTAATAATTTTAGACACTGCATGACAATTACTTTTGTATTATGCCTTCTTCAGTTATTTAGCTTACATTAAGTTTGTGTAAACATTAATTATTTCAGTTAATAACTTGGATCATGGGAATTCAAATGTATTTCTAGGGTAGATGGTGTGGGTGGTTAAAACTAAGAACTGTATAAGTAAGCAGAAAACAGTCAGGACAAGATGGCATGATGGTAGCAACTTCAATAATTCTTTGAGCACTTATGTGAGTTTTTATGTGCATTCCATTGTTTGAAAGTAGAGTTACAGGCATCTATGAGAGGCACAATGGAGTCTAGGAATTGAACCTGTAGCATCTGCAGGAACAGTAAGCACTCTTGACATCAGAGCCCAACTGGGGCTCAGCCCCAGACTCTAAGCTTCTTAACTATTTCAACTAAAGTTGCATTTGTTATTTATTATTTTTCCGTTAAATCTGTTCTTGCTGTTTCAAACAGAATCATTAATATGTCTTTTGAACAATCTTCAAAGGTATCTGCCCATTAGGAATACTACACTTGGTGAGGTGGGCTGCATCTCTGGTCTACCTACTAAGTCTGCTGAGACTCAGAACTAGTTTGAGCTCTGGGAATACAGACCAGGGTAAACAACAAAGTCTAAGCATACTCCTAAACCAAAACCCAGGCTAGTAACACAGCTCTCTGGGTAGCAAACTTCATGCAAGCATGGGGACCTGAGGTTGATCCCTGGAATCCACATAAAAGTGGAAGGAGAGAACCAATTCCACCAACGTGCCCTGTGACCACCATATGCTCTGTGGAGTCCCTGTTCCTTATACATGTAAAGTACACAACTAACTTTTTAAAAATCTCACGCAATTGGGATCCTTTTATTACTTTAAGAATTTTGTAAAGTTACTGAATATAAATACTATTGGAAATTTAATTTATCAATAACAACATAAATTATTATAAGACTGGTGATCGCTGGTAAGAATATTAATCACTCTCAATACAATGTAGAAAGTAAAAAAAATAATCAGCAACTTCTGAGTTCAGTAAAAAAATCTTAAAAATTGTCATTATTGGTCTTTTGACTAAGATAGAGCATAAAAATTATAAACTCAACAAATAACAGACATTTTGATGTTCATAATTAAATAAAATTATACTAGAGAAATAGGTGTCACCTTATACTAAATTCACAGGTATAGGATTTCCTAGACGAGCAGTCACCAGAAATGAATAGGTTCCCATGCAGATAATGACAGCTGTTATTCTTTTCTGAATCATAAATTCTGTAGAAAAACAATTTTAAAAAATCATAAATCATAAGGTAGTCATTAGAGATCAAGGAATTTAATATTAGAGTTTGAATTAGCTAAAACTAGTCTAGGCCAAAGAGATGAAAACATATTGTTACAGGAAGAAAACAACGAGCCACCAGTGAGTGGTGACCTTTAATTGCAAAACAGTAAGCTTAATGGAAAACATCAGACACAAGTAAATCCTACACTGTCTGAGAAAGTAGGATTGGGATTCAAATAAATAGGAAATGGTACACGGCTTTAGCAGCGGTTCTCCATCTACCTAATGCTGGAAAGCTTTAGTACAGTTCTGCATGATGTGGTGACCACATACAATTATTTTGTTGACACTTCATAACTGTAAGTTTGCTACTGTAGTGAATTATACTGTAAATATCAGATATGCAGTATGTCTTCTATGGGACCCTTGTGTGTGAAAGTGTCATTCAACCCTTATTGGTGTCACAACCCACAGATAGGGAATCATTGCTTTAGAGTTACAAACTTCCTAAAATGATGTATAAGTGTCTCCAGGGTGTCCAGTAGAGTGAATGTTTTCAATGTGAGATTCTATCAGGCTAACATATTTTCTCTTTTATGACCTACAGATTGCTGCTTCCACATCAGAGTGAGTGCTTTTCTTTCTTCTCAATGCTTCCTCTGTGCCACACAGAGACAGGACACACATGTATAACAGTCCTACTACCCTCAGCAAAGCCCATTTTATCCAAAGATCTTACTTACAAGGTGTGCTGTGTTTTACCGTCATTTCCCCATAACCAGGACCTGTTGGTTCCATCCTTTTTGAGAAGAATCCACCCTTCAATTTCAAACAATAACAAATTTTCCTGATGAGTACAGAAAATCACAATCCATAAGTGAATGTACAATCCTAATTCATTTTCTTTCTTTTTGCTTCCTAAAAAAATAATTTCTTTGAATTTGTATATATCTTTAATATTTGAAACAGAATTTCACCCCATGGTCCAAACTGATTTGGAGACTCACTATGTAACCCAAACTGGCCTCAAAGCTCATGTTGGTCCTCCTGTCTCAGCCTTTCAAGTGTTAGGGTTATAGGAAGGAGTTACCATGCTGGGTGAAATGTCCCTTCCTTACTGAATAGCAGCTTTGGGTCTTTTGCATAGAAAATGCTGACTAGAGGTCATTTCCTGCTTTGGTTTTCTTGTAGCATTAAGTCTTGGAATGCTGGAGAGTCCTCCCTATGTTCTTACTAAGGATAATAGTAAATCACCATGAGCAAATATCACATGACCTTCAAAGCATTCAATCTGATCTTCATGGACAGTGTTCCCAGTACCATCAGTTACAAAGAGAAGAAAAGCAGGAATGTGTGACTTACCAGCTCTTCTTCAGAGTCTATGATCACAAGATGAGAATTCAGTTCCTCACAGGCAGACTGACTCTCTGCCCAGGTTTTGGTTCCATGAAAAATATGATAGAAATGGTTTCCAAAAGCAATCCAGTCACATGAACAAAGATCACAGGAGGAGTCTAGAAAATGCACATGTGTTAAATGGGTCCTGAGCTCCAGAATGATTCTTTATTAATATGATTCATATTATTATATATAACATCATATAATGAATATATTTCATGAGCTGTGCAAGCAGGTTAAATCAACTAAAAAACTATCATGTTTCATATAAACCTCTAAACAAATCAATATAACTAGTGGTTGGGGTGACAATCAATAATCCAACCAATCAGATAAACAGCTAGCAAAATTACAGTTAGTAGGAATATTTTAAAACATTTCTACAGCTCTTTGTACATGTTTATGTGTACATGTGCATGTGCACATGTTATGTGTACCAGAAGACAGCCTCAAGTATCATTTGGCAACTGCCCCTACCTTGTTTTTTTGTGTATATTTTTGTTTATAAATTTTCATTGTGGTTTTTGAGTTTCTTTGTTTTCTTTTGAGGCAAGATTTTTCACTGATCTATAACTCACTAAGAAGAAGTGAACTCCAGAGATCTAACTGTTTCAACTATAATAGGATAAGGATTATAAAAGGGACCTTGCCTGGCTTCTTGACATGGGTTCTGGGAATCAAACTCAGGTATTCATACTTGAAAAGCAAGCCGTCTATTGACTCCGCTATCTCTAAGGACAATTGTTTTCCATTTTCCTTATTTAATAACTAAGAGTAGAATTGTTGGGCCATCCCAACTCATCTTGTATAGCATTCTGGCCATATTCTGATATGCCAATCTTTTCATATTAAGCCACATTCATAGTATGAAGTGCTAACCCTAGGAGTTTTGATTTACATTTGTCTCTGGTTAATTCCAATTCATTTGATACTGTTGTCAAGATATGTAAACAAAGGGAAACAATGTGAGTGGTTCGTATTTGTATTCACTATACTTATATCTAATATTTTTTGAAAAAAAAAACAGTATTCACTTATATTTATAATACTTTAGTTTTCACATTCTACTATGTTATTCTCTTTCCTTCCCCAAGGGAAAAAAAATTGAACATAGGACACTTCATTTGTTCACTGTTCTCAGTAAAGTCGTGGATCTAAGGAAGAGACTTTGCCCCAATAATCAAAAGTGCTGGAAATAAATTGCACAAAGTTAATACTCACCATCATTGTTACAACGTAGAGGGTTAAGAAGAGAGATCTCTCTGCTTTGATTTTCTCCTCTAGAAAATACTACAACAAAAATTGCATCAGTAATAAGTAGTATTTAGCATACATTTACTAGGGCAATATAATATTCACTTTTCATAGTGAATTATTATAATAATAGTATGCTGATTATAAGAAGAAGATTTTTTATAGTTACTTACAACTTGGAATCAATAATCCCACTTTTGTAACCAAAATAATGCATGAGATTCCCAGGATGACTGTAATCATTTGCCATGTTGTCAACCAGGGATCTAGACACAACAAAAAGAAGACAGGAGAGAGTTTATCACTTCTAAGGCTTGAAGACTATTGCGTCTCAATCTCCAACTCTATATAACATTGTCTAATTTTTCAGAGGTCAATCCCGAAGTTAATAGTTTCTTGGTGGCCTGGACAGCCCAGTTCTTTGTACTCCAATGTACTTCATCTCAACTCTCAGTTGTTTTGCTTCTCCATATTGAAGTGCAGTGCTGGTTGTTGGATTTGTGTGACCCCTCTTCCTATTTTAATATACTTTATTTATACCTACTCCTCAATGTAAATTCATGTCTCCTTGTCCTGAACCTTTCCCTGATGAAATCTTGCAAGTTGCTTGCTTCTTGCTGATAAATGTTTTCTCCCAGTAGTTTCTACCTGCAACCCTGCTTTCTTCCATCAGTCCTTTCTGCCAGTCCTTTCTGGCTCCACATTGGAGATTAGAAGCTTAAATACAATGTCTTTATAAATATTTTCCTCTTAGTTACTGAGAGACATTTGTACATCTTCTGATTTTCACTGCATAAACCAAAAGTGAGAAACTCTTTTCTCATGGATGATAAAGTTACTAAACTACAGAATCATTTAAACTAAGAATCTTGTTTCCTGCCGAGCAGTGGTGGCGCATGCCTTTAATTCCAGCACTTGGGAGGTAGAGGCAGGTGGATTTCTGAGTTTGAGGCAAGCCTGGTCTACAGAGACAGTTCAAGGATAGCCAGGGCTACACAGAGAAACCTTGTCTCAAAAAACAAAACAAAACAAAAAAACAAAAAAAAAGAAAGAAAGAAAGAAAAAGAATCTTGTTTCCCTGTATGTTAACACCATTTGACCTTTAAATTTTAATGACATTATCTCATTAAGTATGAAATCCCATAAGTTTTACTTCCAAATTGTTTTTATAATTTTACATAATATGCCATGTGTTTATGGGGCTGAATTAGGCTGAATAGTTCTTTTTTAAAAAAAAAGTCAATAATTACTTTAAAAATAACATGGGGATAAATAGAAAGTATACATCTTCCACACAATTGTGTGTACAGTTCCAACAAGTAATACAATTCTATTGAGACCTGAGTCAATGATAATCTAGGGGTATTAAATGGAGACTCTTTAAGCACTGATCTGCTTCATGGTAGTATCTTGAAATAATTAAGATGCTAAAAAGACAGACATTTAGGATAGTGGCACAATTCAATGTTTTTGAAAAGATAAACACCCACATGTAAAAATTGAGATTTAGCCTTGACAAAATGGATACAAAATGTATTACCATACCTGTTCCTTTGTCCGTATTGAACCCTGTCCTGAGCTGAGCTCTGAGCACTTTCAGTTCCTGTTTTTTCTGTTCTTCTTTCCACACAGTAGATCTCTGGTCTGTCTTCAAGGGTCTCTGCTTCTCTTGAAATGTGAAAGATTCTGTTCCTATGTTAATAATCTCCTGCTTGATTGTTCCAGGTTCATTTTGCCTTTTCTTATGCATTTTTTTTTGTTATTGTGAAAAGACTGGAATAGCTTCCTCTCAGTCTTGGTAACTTGTCTCTACTGTTCTACAACCTCTTCCAAGCAACAAAAACATAAAGAAGAATACAGTTCTCACTTCCTATTGCACCAGTGAGAGATGCCTTAGTTCTGATGTCGTCTTTGCAATGTAAACAGTGACAGTGCATCTGTGACGACAAAAATAAATACACACTAACAATGAAAAGCCTACCACAGGCATAATATGTTATTCTGTGAATTTATCACACATACACACACACACACACATCACACACACACATATATGTTTATTTCAAGGAGTGGTGGGATTATAAAAATATTGCTGATCAAATATTTGTACTAGTTATATAGGGGAGGAATGAAAATATTCACTACTCTAAGAATAAATGACAAAATAATCATATTGATAAAACCAGAAGGGAAGCTAGTTAAAATTCAGTTTCACATAGACTTGCATTACTAATTTCATGTAGTATCCACCCACATACTTTAAATAAATCAAAATGGTGACTATAAACAAAGAAGTGATAAAAGACTAAAAAGAATAGACAAATTGTTTAAGCTTTAGCTATATACAGATGAGGAAAAGTATTAAAATGTATTTTGTTAACAATAAAATTTTATACAAAAGAAAAATGAAGACATTCTACCAATAATCAAAAAGAAGAAGAAATGCAAATGAAAAGTCTATGACATGACTTTCTTATCTGGAAAATAATATGTAATTGTGCATGATGGGGAGCATGTAGGAAAACAAAATGGGTATTCTTGGAACTTACAACTAAATAAGGTAACTGTATTATCTACCTTTCTAGGAAGGAATTTATCAGAAAGTACAGAAAACTACATAATATGTGCACCCTACTGATCGAACCACTATAAACACAGAAAATGGCAGTCTACTTGTATATTGTTCAGTAATTGAGAAGATTGACAGTTATGGAAAACAACAAGTTAGAAGGGCTGAGGGCAAAAGAAATAAGCCAACCCTAGTACAATGGGACTCATCACTACTGCTTATAAAGTGGTCACATTCTATGACTTCACAAAAACTTTTTCCCCTCAAGCTATTTTTTCAGATGATCTGAATGAGATGTGAAGTAACATCCAAAATGACAGCTATCCGAAACACAAAAGTAGCAATAACCACCCACTAGAAGAGTCAAGCTAGATATGAGATCTTAGGTAGCATCAAGACTTGTGTCAGACTAAGAAATTATGCTTCTCTTCAATTTAAGAATATTCAAACAAGGTCAGGGAAGATGACTCGGACTTTAAAGGTTAAGCTCACAGCTAAAAATACTGAAGCAAGATTGTAGGTTATACAGAACTAAACATGATTCTGATTTCTAGTCTTGCCTTATATGGGCTGTTCCCAACACTCTGTTGTCAGCCTCCACCAATTATCTTCTTCCTATACAGCTAGGGTGATTCTGTGACTCTCTCTCCATAGAGCTAGGATGATTCTAGAACTGTATTTGAAAACCTCTGCCAACTCTCTACACTGCTCTGAATGTATTTGGTCCTTACTTCTTAGTAAAATTGTAATTCTTTATGAAGTTATATCTTGTCTGAGAAGTCAAGTACTTGTAGAATAGACAGTATTTATAAGATAAGAATTCAAGGTCATCAACCTGAAAAAAAAAGTTTTGGCTCAGATAAGAATCTTGTTATAAAATTTCTGTTTATTACACTCTCACAGATCTAAAGTTCATTTTATTGCCTGTCCTCCATTATTGTCAAATTTTTATCCCACATGCTCTTTCATTCTTAATGGATGAGTCATATCAGAGGGAACTAAGAGCCTGTAGGGTATTGGATGAACATACTCTTAGATGCTCCCTGCATGTTTCTATGTCTAGCCTTGCTTCTTTCCTCTCATTAATCTATCTATGCACTTCCTCTCTGAAAATATCAGTCTTATCTCATCTGAATCCATCACGCCTGCCTGGCAGAAATTACAAATAGTCTCTCCACTGACCTTCCTTTAAAATCCCATCCTTAGTTGTTGTCTTAGGCACTGTTCAAGTGCTGTGAAGAAATAGCACTCTTAAGGCAACTCTTATAAGAGAAAGCATTTAACTGAGTGTTTGCTTACAATTTCAGAAGTTCAGTCCATTGTGATTATCACAGACAACATGGCAGCAGGAGAAGTAGATAGGAGATACATCCTGATCCTCAGTCCTCAGGCAGGAAAGAGAGAGAGAGAGAGAGAGAGAGAGAGAGAGAGAGAGAGAGAGAGAAACAGAGAGAGACAAACAGAGAGACAGAGAGACAGAGAAAGAATGAGAGACAGAGACAGGCAGAGAGTGCTTCTGGGCCTGGTGTGGGCTTTTGAAACCTCAATCCCCAAACCCACCTCAACCCAGTGACACACTTTCTCCAACAAGGCTGCACCTACTCCAGTAAGGGCATGTCTCCTAACCCTTCTAATCATTCTCAAATATGGTCACTCTCTGGTGCCTAAGCACTCAAATAATAAGAGCCTACAGGGGCCGTTCTTAGTCAAGCCATCATGGTTGTATTATCCATCATCTTAAGGTACGACATGACTTAAAACATCTTCTGATGTAAAGGCTCCACATTTTCCACTCTCCTCTTTCTCTCATTGTCCTAAACAGAAAGCCATCTGGCTTCTGTCTCACACTCAACCCATTGCAGAACAGCTCCTCTCCTGTAAACACCTATGAAAAGACAATAGAGAAAAACAGTACAGGCCTTTGTATATATTTTTGTGAGTACCAAAATTACTTATTTCATAAGACTCAGATAAAACTTAAAATTGTTACTAGAGTCATTTTGACCTAGTAACTTAGCTACATACAAATCTGTGTTTTTAGCTATATTTATTTTATTTATGTATATGAATTTTTGCATACATATGCATGCATATATATATATATATATATATATATATATATATATATATATGCCTGATGCTCTTGAAAGTCAGAAGAGGGTGTTGTATTACCTGAAGATGGATTTACAGATTTCAGATGTCCGTGAACTGCATTGTGAGTGCAGAGAATTGAACCCAGGTCCTCTGCAAGAGAAACAAGTGCTCTTAACCACCGAGCCATCTCTCCAACCCTATAAATTTCTTTTCATTTCTCCTCCCCACCTCATGTTATTAAGAGCAGAATATTTTATATATGTTCATTAACTGTTTTCTGCATTGTAATTGTTCTTAATTTTCTTTCTTCTTAATTTCATATTAGGATAAATGCAAATTACACATTGCGTTTATACTAACAAATTATGCTGTGTTTTTCCTATTAACTTTTATCTTTATATTTAAGCTCTCATATGTTTCTGTGTTATGTAGAATCATCTCATTTCAACATGAATGTCTCTTGCTAAGCAAGTATAGTTGGAAAAAGTTTCCCAGTTTTTGTTTACATTTACATTTACATTTATGCTAATTTTTGAAGTATAGTATACTTTGAGAACAGTATATATGCATAGCATGTATCTAGATCATATTTATCTTACAACTCCTCCCACTAATTCCTCCAAGAACCATCCTCTTGCCTCATCCTACAAACTTTGTATCTTCTTTATTTGTTTTCACTTTTTATAACCTATTTACTCCAGTTCATACTATTTACATATTCACGGGTATGGGGCTCTCTACTGAGCTTGGTCAATCTGCTAGTGCCACACCCTTACTTTCTAAGGATATTATACTGAGTTGTTTCTATATTTTTAATCCCAGCAGTTTGGCAGTAGAGGAAAGGAGATCTCTGTGAGTTCAAGGCCAGCCTGATCAATATATAGTGATATTTATAATAACCAAAGCTATACAGAGAGTCACTGTCTCAAGATAAACCAAACACTACATACACACACACACACACACGAGAGAGAGAGAGAGAGAGAGAGAGAGAGAGAGAGAGAGAGAGAGAG